GCCATGCTTGAGCAACACGGTGAAGTTGGCGATTTGCGAAGTTTGCTGCGAATTGAAGGCGCCCCTCGTGGAAGCCAAGGAGCATCGTTTGTTGATATTGCGGTGCGCAGCCACGTTCTGTCGTGCATGGAAGGCTTGTGAGACACCAGGTGAAAGCCGGAAGGTCAAAAGGATGCGGTATCACAAGGTCGTAAGGTCGAACGCTACGTTGGCATCAGTGGCATCCCTCGATTCGTTCCAGGAGGTGCCTGCCGGCTCGGGAGCTGCATCCGAAGGTGCCCAGCACATGTTCTCGTTTTAGCCTCCCCGTCTGTGCTTGTCTCTGGTTTCGAAACAATCCAAGTCGGAGAAGCGCAATGAAGTATGTGGAAACAAGAACAAAATCCTGCAGGCCTCCAGCCCCGACGATTCTGCCAATCAGGTCCAGAACAAACCAAAGAAGACCAAGAATCGCTTCATTTGCTGCACCCTGATGCGCTCTCAGAAGCCATGCCCACTTTGCCAAATCGAACCAAACAACAACATCAAAAACAACATGGTTGTCCACTCCTGAATTCACCTGAATTCAGTGTTGGCGGCATGAAAGCCATAGTCGCACTGCGAGCTTGGGACAGGCTGTGTAGTTCGACTATGTGACTAGCCGAGCTCTGGCAGAGAATATGTGGTACTTGTGCCAATCCATAATATCTTGCAGGTGACCAGAGGTGGTGGCAATGCCGGCTCGAGCTTGCTGATACTTCGGGGGACAGCTCAAGATGAAGTTCGGACTAATGGGCTTGAAGAGCGAAGCACTGGCGCGTGTCAGACACGCTAAGCTTCTGGCATCATTTACTGCCAGGCTGTCCGCCATCTTTTCTCCGTTCTTGACTGCTTCGGCCCCGGGCATGCAAGCTCGAGAATCCGCGTCGATCCGCCGGGTGCTTCCGAGGAAGGAGACATGCGTGAAATCCATGCGCAGCTTGGGACTCAGCTGCAGCTTCGCAGTCCCCGAGGAGAGCGCAGCTGCAGCGCTCAGGTCTCGCTTGGACGAAGCCGACGGCCGAAACGAGGGCTGATCCGATTGCTTCTCCAAGCCAGTCACTGCAAGAAGCCATTCTCCTATGTCACTCCGTTTGTGTGACATTTGGTTCCTGACTTTGTGACCGCATTTGCTCGGGCAAAACAAGTTGGACTCTAGGCAGAGAATTGTGTGCACTAGTCGGAACATGTCTGAGTGCAGTTGCTTACATCAGCCATGGATGAATTTAAGAATCTCTGGATCACAGGACATCCGCAATCGCTCCTTGCGCCCTGGCGGTTTTTTCGATTCCTGGGACTTCCGGACATGTGCAGCCGCGGGCTTATACATTGCACAGGACACCAGCTCAAGACCGTTTTGTTGCAAGCAGCTTGAAGCCCAAGCTCTTGCTGGTCTGCTTTCTGTACGCCTCTGCGTATGCACGCGAGCCCTCCATGCATGTTTGTGCTTGTTTGCGTCGTTGCACATGCACACGCGCACGCGCGCGCGCGTGCACCAGACCTGTATCTTCTCATACATGTCATAATCTGTGTGCAGATCTAAGTGTTACGAATTGAGTAAATATCTATCTGTACAATATGCATAACTGTATCTATGTATATGAAAATATCTACTAACATATGTCATTATTTATATGTAATAAAGAAGTATGTAAAGCCAGAATGGTGTGTCGAAACCTGTGTACTTACATGATGCCAGTATTTGTACATACACATGTCCATGTGCAGAATTTCGTTGTGGACATGACGCTTTCTCCGATTTGCACGGGTGCATGCTTGCATGCTTGCAAGCATGCCTGCGGCCTGCAGGCAGGCATGTACGCATGCATGAGGCGCCTGTTTCACGTCTCTAATATGAATAGTTTCATCACGATATTGGCAGGTGCATGTTTCTCTGGGTCCATTCCTATGCCAAGTTCCTTGTTCGTATATTTATGTGTCCAGTTTGTTGTTCAGGATAGGAAGAAAGCTCAATCCATCTGGCTTAATCTCTTCTCTCCTGTATTAAACACCACCCTACTTGTAAAAGCAAAAACGCTTTGGGGCGAATCCTCCCGAAATCATCCATGAAAAGCCTATTCTGAAAGGGGGGAGGGTTTCGAGGCTCCAAATACCCTTGGAGCACGGTAAGAGCAAGAGGAAAAGCAAGAGCAGGAGTTAGAGCAGGAGCAAGAGCAAAAGCAAAAGAGGGAGCACCAGCAAGAGCAAAGCAAAAGCAAGAGAGGGAGTAAGAGCAGGAGCAAGAGCAA